CGAATCTTCCTCCATCTTCCATTCCCTTTTTTGCCCCCTATTTCGAGCTCAAGTCCCTAAGGTGGTAAGGGGGCAAGGGGGCAAGCTTTTTCAGAACTCCCAGAGATTTCTTTTTCGAAAAACGATCCGACTGGGCGTGCACTGACCTGCTCGCCTTCCTTGCTCGCTCCTCCCCCGCCATCGCCGGACGTCCCCGCCATCGGTGGCACGGCCGCATCCTGCATCGACAGCAACGGAGGAGATGAGGATCATCGAGCATTTCGTCCACGAGTCTTGCGTATTGCTCCCACCCATTTCAAGAGGCTTCCAACACCTACCTGTATGTTGAATATTCTGAATTTCTTTTCAAAGAAAATCATGAATGAACCACCAAGTAGAGCAACGAGCAAGTGTGCAGGGAGGTAGCAATGATGATCCGTCTGTCTGGCTTTTCTTCCCTTCCTGGTACCTAGTCTCTCTTTATCTCAAAAGAAATTTCAAGAATCAATGATGATGACCAACAGCAGGAGTGAGCTTTCATGAGTGGATCATGTGAACGAACTCACATCGGCCGCTCCCGGGGGGGCGCTCCTGGGGGCACCCGAAGGGGTGGAGCCCCTCATGTAACCCTCCAAGAGGGTGGTGTCGATCTCGCGCATGCTGTGGAGCGCTCCCTCGTCGTAGACGCCGATCAGGTGGTCCTCGATGCGGACGGAGCTCCCCTCCTCGGGCAAGAGCGGGCGGAGGGACCCCATCTTGCTCGAGTAGAGCGTCCGCCAGCACTGGAAGGAGGCATACGGCTTCGGGTCCCAGAACGGCTTGACCCCTCCGCTCGTCGGGTCGAGCCAGGTCAGGAACGGGGTGCAGTGGCTCAGCTCGTCCGGCAGGTGCAACTGGAAGCGCTCGAAGGCATGCTTGAACAGGAGGCGCGCGCGGTGGTCTCGCAGGAAGAAGCCCTGCATGACCTCGTGCCTGCTGTACTTGTACGTTTTGGCCTTCCCCCCGTTCGCCCGGCAGGACTGGAACGCGATCTCCTCCGCGGGGATGAGCAGGACGCTAGTGAGGAAGGCATCCCTCACGAGCTCGAAATGGCGGACGCGGACGGCGAAGGCCTCATCGTCGCGCTCGAGCACCTCGTTGTCCAGATCGTTGTAGATGCGGGATGGGGTCTCGGACAGGAGCCCCTCGTACAAGACGGGGTCGATCCCGACCGTCGGGAACAGAGCGAGGTGGGCAGCCAGGGCCGCGGGGGTCGCGAAAGTGCCGTACATCTTCGTGCCTGCCGTCGGACTCACGTCGCTGGCCACGATCAGCCTGTCCCCACTGCTCCACATGTGCTGCACGGCGAGGTCTTTGGGCCCGAGTCCGGATGCCGGATCCTTCCTCGAAAACCAGCCCTTGTTGAAGCGATCGAAGACCGCGTACAGTGCCGGCTCGGCCTGCATCAAGAGCATATCCTTTTTAATTTTTTTGAAAAATTCATAAAAAGAGAGTATTTCTAGTCGCGTAGGAGAAGGGAGTCTTCACAGAATTACAACGGCTGCCACACAAAGTGTTCCAGAATTGGAGCACTTGGTTAGAATCCCTCAAAATGGCGTCAACCCCTGCACACCATGTGTCTCTTGCCACACTTGCCACACACCAGAGAATGTGGGAGAAAGCCTACAGTGGAGACAAGAAGTGATGTGCAAAGAAGGCCGCCAGAGAAGCTTCGAGTATGAGGTGCTCACCGACAGGGGGGTGTTGCTTCCTTCACCGGTCTTTGGCTCCCTTTCCGCGTCCTCGTTGCCGGATGGCTTCTTCCCGTCCACCTAGCAATGAAAAAGACATCTAGTTATAGTTGATGGCAGAGATTGTCACAAGAAAAATTTGTGGGAGTTCTCAGAAAGCTTGCCCCCTTGCCTCCTTACCCCCTTAGGGACTTGAGCCAAAAACAGGGGCAAAAACAGGGGAGTCCATCGACGAGAAATCTAGCTTGCCCCCTTACCCCCTTTCCGGGGTTGTGCCCGAAAATTGACA